ATCGCATATATGACAATATCGCAACTGGTCAAAAGAACTCTCATTTTTAACCTTTTACCTCCCTTTATCACAAGCAATGTTTATTTATTTATTTATTTTTTGTTTCACACGCCAACAGAGAATTCCTTCCATCTAAAATAAAACAAAATTGCAAGATGCTGTATTGATTAAAATATTTGTTTTTATTTTGTATTTTTATGAGTTGTATTTAATCCATTATTTTTCCAGCGGATTAGACAAATATTTTGATTTTAATCCTCTGCAATAATCCTTAAATTCGGCTCAAAAATTATTTTCAGATTTGTCATAAAATGCATCATTATCATCGCCGTAATCTTCCGGTAAGCAACAATTAAAGTTCTGGCATTTTTGTGAAACAAACTAAAAAACAAAAAAAAAACAAGAGGTACGATTTTAAATATTTAATCTATCTATCTATCTATCTATCTATCTCATCTATTTATATCTATCTCATCTGTTATATATCTATCTATCTATCTATCTATCTATCTATCTCCTTACGTGTGTGTATATATATATATATATATATATATATATATATATATATATATATATATATATATTAAAGAAAAAACATAAACCGTTGAGATAACCAGCAGAAAACTTGGTAAGGCCTAAAACTCTTAGCCAGATAAAGTCCCAAACAAAAAACGACAATACTGAAAAAGAAAGAACGCCTAGTGGCAAACCTACCTACTCGGCAATGAGCTGGAAGCCTACATTACTAGACTGAACAAAACATCTTAACAACGTTAATTTTTCACTCTTCCACGATCTTCAGAGACGAACTTGAATATATATATATATATATATATATATATATATATATATATATATATATATATATATATATATATATATATATATATAATAAAAAGGCTTAAACATTAATATTCCATGGTCATAATTTATCCCACACTCTCATACTTACTCTCTCTAAATTCTGTTTTTATTTCCGGAGTTGTTTTTTTTCTGTTTTCTTTTTTTTGAATTTGTAGGTCTGATGAATTGGATCGTATTAACGATTCCAATGGAATAAATTATGACCATGGAATATTAGTGTTTAAGCCTTTTATTATATCCTTACTCTGTCCTAGACATTGAGTTCTACCTGGATTCTATCCTCTTGAATTTTTATTCAAAAATATACATGTATATATATTTTGCATATGTATGTGTATATATATATATATATATATATATATATATATATATATATATATATATATATATATATATATATATATATATATATATATATATATATATATATATATATATATATATATATATATATATATATAAATAAAATTTTTATAGATACAAATATGTAAAAAGTTCTGTTTATAATCAACAGTGTTAACCGGCCTGAATGTCCGAGAAATTGTCATAGAAAATATGCGTCCTCCGACAGGAATCGAACCTGTATCCTATACGGAACCGTCATATAGCCTGACGTGCTCTTATCGATGTCGTATATTAAAATGTGTTTTATATAAAATAAAAAAATAAACACACACACACAAAAAAAGAGAGATTGATTCCCTCAAAAATGATAAAGCCGGAAATAAAAACGATTTCAGTAACTACACATTGAACAATCCTTGAAAATGAATGAAGAAACATCCGAAAATACTCGGGAAAATAATATAAAAGTTAATAAGAATTTTGTTAAATTTACTGATAAAACAATACAACTTCTTCGAAAATTTTAAAGATTTAATAAAAAACATTGACAGACGGAATTTCTCCATCTTATGTAACAAAACCTATTTGAGAGAATTCTCGCTGCCGTAATACACCTTCAGATATTGGAGGCCATCTACATAAAAACAAAGCAAACTATACTCAACAAGATTACATTTCAAACTAGTCACAACACATTACATTGGATCTAGACATATGTTTCTGTTTTTAATATTTCAGTCTTTCACGTGATATGACGTCATAGAACTGCATCCTGAATTCCGCTACCGTTTATCTTCACATAATAATCTGTATCTGCAAAATCTGAAGATGGCTCATGTGAGCCGAAAGCATACATGAACGAACACCTTGATAAAAAATATCCAAATGTTGGACAATTTGTGTCTTATGTTTCGGCCCTTCAGTATCTGTCTATATTTCTGAGATGAGGTATTATGTACACTATTTACATTATTCGGACTATTGTTCTCATCTTTGTCGCCATATTTATTACAACGTTTCGGCCCTTCAGCATCTGTCTATATTTCTGAGATGAGGTATTATGTACACTATTTACATTATTCGGACTATTGTTCTCATCTTTGTCGCCATATTTATTACAACGTTTCGGCCCTTCAGTATCTGTCTATATTTCTGAGATGAGGTATTATGTACACTATTTACATTATTCGGACTACTGTTAAAACGTTTAAAATTAGGTATATATATATATATATATATATATATATACCTAAATCATTTCTTCTTATCTATCTATTTAGTTCATTCTCTTTATATCCATCTATCTATCTATCTATCTATCTATCTATCTATCTAGTTCATTCTTTTCATGTCTATTTATCTATCTTAGCCTATATATACATGCATACACACACATATGTGTGTGTGTGTCTGTGTACGTAAAAATAGATTGACTAAACAAAACAAAGATAAGCAATTGACTTGAGACACACATTAAAACGGCGCCCACCTCACTATCTAACGAGTTAGCAATTGATAGGTTGATAAATAAATTGGTAAGTAAAAGCTTTTTTTTTATTACTCATATTTTTCATAATAAAATGAATTTTAGAAAGACCGAATGTTTGATATTTATTACTTTTAGATTTTTCACTTTTTCTTCTACGTAAAAAATGTGCCGCTGACATTTTCCGTGAATCTGATTTGCAAGCATTTAAATATCCCGTGTAATTAAAGAAAAAATCGTTTCAATTTCTCTCCTTAATTGTGAGAGTATTAGGTTTTGTTTCATAAACTTGATCTTTAAGCTATATCCGTAACTGTGTAAGAGCATTGTTAGTTTTTCTATTTATTATTTTTGTATTTTGTTTCATCTTTAAGCTATCCCCGGTAATTGTACAAGTTTTCTTATAAATACTTCACTATTAAATCTATCTCCGTTAATTTTGCGATTTTCTTACGTAAAATTTATCTTTCAGTTAACTCTTTAATTATGCAAGCGTGTTGGGTTTTGTTGCAGAAAATGCGTCTATAAACTATACTTGCGTGAAATAATCACGTGATCTTACAACTTCTTAACCCGACGCCAGTCGGCGCTGTATCTTCTTCTATTCTCTCCACCTGCAAATGTTTTGTTAAATTTGCGCTCGCTATAAAATAAATTGAAAGTTGTTCCACTTGGTTTAAGCAAAAGTTCGCCAGTTCCATTAAATTCTTCAAGTCATAAATCGTGTTAGACATTTTCATGACGGTCGTCTTCGAGTATAGAATCCAGAGGTTGGCAGTGAATATTTCGGAGACAGTAGGAAAGCGTAGTGCAGGTTCGCAGTGGATATCGCAGCAAGGTAGCAGAGCGTAGTTCTTCCGTCTGTCCTGTTCACCGGACAAGTTGCCTCTGGTCATTCTAGTAGCAAAACAAAGATGGCCGCCTTTATACACGACGGATACAGTGGTGTGCGGCTTCTGATTGGTCAACCTTCTATTAGTCGACTATAAAGGGAAATAAGTCATTTTGACTCGCTCACTAGTTATGTACGGTATATACACAAAAAACCGTAACAAATCGGTCGGCTAATATTGTTGTGAGGATGTGTATCTAATCAATATTTCACTAATTGATTCATTTTCTACAGCTGATCAATCATTTGCAGATTATTTAAGTCCAGAAAATATTTTTAGATTGTAAGAATTTCTTTTTTTGAGATAATAATGGTTTAGTGACACTTACTAATTAACCAATAGCTGGGGTGAAAAGATGGATTCATACCGTCAGAATTTAATAAACAATAAATTATCATGTGGATATAAAGTAGGGGATCAATTCTCTATTAAAAATATATATATAAAATGATCCCTCACTTTTTGGCCACGGTAGTTTCCATCTAATTATATTCCAGAGAATGCAAATAAATCTAAAAGACATGCCTGTGTAGCTAATCAGTATTTCATTGATTGATTCATTTTCTACGGTTTCTCAACAAACAAGAAATTATAATGTGGATATAAAGTGGGGGATCAATTCTATACTTAAATCTATATATGTAAATTGATCCCTCACTTTGTGGTCACAGTAGTTTCTATACATTTATATTCCAGAGAATGTAAATAAATCTAAAAGTCATGCCTGTGTAGCTAATCAGTATTTCACTGATTGATTCGTTTTTTACGGCTTCTCAACCAACAAGAAATTATACTGTGGATTTAACGTGTATAATATTGGGAAAGCAAACAATATATGCAAGGCAAAGTAATATGGTAAAAAAAATCACAAACTAAGGCTTAGTGTTGACACACAAGAGCAAATTCGGACAAGCCAACGTCGTGTTCTGGTTTCAAGACAAGACAGATCGGGATTGAGTCAGACAAAACCGAGAATCGGCCTATCTGGAGACTTTGATCTTCAGGTAACCCTGAACAGGAAGAGTTTCCTCAACATCCATGACACACTGATGTGAAAAGGACGGAAGATGAACATAATCGTCGAGGGTAGGAGATCCCACTCTGGTCGTGTGGCGCCACAAGGAAACTTGTAGACTTCAAACTGAATTATAAAAAAGCAGTTGATTGATTCATTCATTTTCTACAGATTATCAACACTTTTCAGGTTATTTAAATCAGAAAATATTTTTAAATTTCCAATTTTTTTTTCAGATAATAATGGTTTAGTGATATATAATTACTAATTAACCCGTAGCTGGGGAAAAACTGTGGATTCATACCTTTCCCAAGGGTATTTGCAGGTAAATGAATATAACGAACCCAACTGGAATTGGAACTCGGTTCTTGTCCAGTACACAACCTACACACCTAAGCTTACACCACCTGTTATTCGCAAGCGGTCAACCTTGTAAATACTGACCAAGTTCGACGTTGCTTAACTTCGGAGATCGTACGGGAACTGGTTTTTCAATGTGATATTGCAGCAAACCTATAGAAATTTAGAATGGAATCTCTAAGAAAGTACGGAATTCAGTTGAACATCCAGTGATCGATAAAACAAAAACATTTAAAAAAAAAAAAAAAAAAAAAACAACGGTAGACTTCGGTAAATCGAATGTCACATAATGCAACCTCTCCAGCCTCTTTAATCAAGGGACATAACTCATTTTATCTATAAACGAAAGACGAGGGTAAAAGAAACGTTTTTGTTTGGAAAGATTTTCGTCAATAAACAGAAATAATTAGAGAATTACATCTAAAAAGAAAACAATTCCAACAGCAGATAATCAAAATGAAAAAAAAAAATGAATAAATCAAAATTGTTCTAAAAAAGGAACAAACAAGCAACCGACATTTCCAACAAAGTAATTGAAGATAATGAAATTGTCAATATAAATATCTACGAACAAAGACACTGGATGTAATTACTAAAAGCAAGAAAAAGAAATTTAAAAATACACATTTTGCTGAATGAGAATCTTGGCTGAAAACAATATGGACATTAGTGATATGATTTACTGCCACACGTTATAAAAATAAGAAGGAATTATAATTCATTTAGGAAAAAAACAATGGACGCGGGACGAATAGGTTCAATATTCGGTGTTCGATCAATGATATTCCTTACCGTAAGTTTTTCTGAATAGGTTCACATCGAAACAGAATAACGTTTTGTAGCATATATGGCAACAATGAATGATAAAAGTGAAGGCTGGACATGTTTTGTTTTTAAACATTAAGAAAGGGATAATCGTATGAATAATCGTTGAAGTAATAACAAGTAAAATATGAAAAGCGAAAAGAAAAAACATAGCATTTTGATTAAATTATTTGGAGGCGAATTCTCAAATGTGTTGAATGGGTCCAGTTCACTAAGAAAGAAAGAAAGAAAGAAAGAAAGAAAAGAAAGAAAGCGGTTATGTAATAAGAAAGAAAGAAAGAAAGAAAGAAAGAAAGAAAGAAAGCAATTATCTTATTAGAAAGAAAGAAAGAAAGAAAGGAAAGAAAGCGGTTATGTAATAAGAAAGAAAGAAAGAAAGAAAGCAATTATCTTATTAGAAAGAAAGAAAGAAAGAAAGAAAAGAAAGAAAGCGGTTATGTAATAAGAAAGAAAGAAAGAAAGAAAGAAAGAAAGAAAGAAAGAAAGAAAGAAAGAACGCAATTATGTTGTTACAAAGAAAGAAGAAAAAAGAAAATTAAATTGTTAAAAAGAATATTGTTAGAAAAAAAAGAAAGAAATAACGAAAAAAAAAGCAATTATGGTGTCAGAAAAAGAAAAAAAAAAAGAAAGAAAGAAGCAATTATTTTGTTGGAAAGAAAGAAAGAAAGAAAGAAAGAATGAAAGAAAGAAAGAAAGAAAGAAAGAAAGAAAGCAATTATGTTAGAAAGAAAGAAAGCGGTTATGTAATAAGAAAGAAAGAAAGAAAGAAAGAAAGAAAGAAAGAAAGAAAGAAAGAAAGAAAGCGGTTATGTTGTAAGAAAAAGAAAAAAGAAAGAAAGAAAGAAAGAAAGAAAGAAAGAAAGAAAGAAAGAAAAAGCAATTATGGTATAAGAAAGAAAGAAAGAAAGAAAGAAAGAAAGAAAGAAGTGAAAGAAATAAAGAAATTAAAGCAAAATAAAGAAAGAAAGCAATCATGTAAGAAAGAAAGAAAGAAAGAAAGAAAGAAAGAAAGAAAGAAAGAAAGAAAGAAAGCGGTTATGTTGTAAGAAAAAAGAAAAAAAGCAATTATCTTATTAGAAAGAAAGAAAGAAAGAAAGAAAGAAAGAAAGAAAGAAAGAACGCAATTATGTTGTTACAAAGAAAGAAGAAAAAAGAAAATTAAATTGTTAAAAAGAATATTGTTAGAAAAAAAGAAAGAAATAACGAAAGAAAAAAAGCAATTATGGTGTCAGAAAGAAAAAACAAAGAAAGAAAGAAGCAATTATTTTGTTGGAAAGAAAGAAAGAAAGAAAGAAAGAAAGAAAGAAAGAAAGAAAGCGGTTATGTTGTAAGAAAAAAGAAAGAAAGAAAGAAAGCAATTTTCTTATTAGAAAGAAAGAAAGAAAATAAGAAAGAAAGAAAGAAAGAAAGAAAGAAAGAAGCAATTATGGTGTCAGAAATAAAGAAAGAAAGCAAGAAAGAAAGAAAGAAAGAAAGAAAGAAAGAAAGCGGTTATGTTGTAAGAAAAAAGAAAAAAAAGAAAGCAATTATCTTATTAGAAAGAAAGAAAGAAAGTATCTTGAAAAAAGATTGAACAAGGAAAGAATGAATGAAAGGCGTTATCTTAGAAAAAAGAAAAAACGGCTAAAATATCTTGAAAAAAGATAATATTTTGTAGATAGAAGAATAAAATAAAAGAGAATTTATCTTGAAAAAAAAAAGAAAATTCGCTTCTTTTCTATAAAAGAAAAATAATGTTGTTGAAAAGAAAGAAAAATTACCTTCAAAGAAGAAAGTCAAACTATTGTCTCAAAGAAAAGTAATGAAAGAATAAACGAAAGACAAAAACAAGTATTTATGTATGAAACATTAATCATATATTCTTATCAGATGACATGAGATTTTGATGCTTGTACCAGAGGTAACCTCTTTTTCATGTTCTGTGTCCCCTCGGAACATAGGTGATCATGGCTCTCCACAAATTCCTGTCCCTTGTAGATCTTAATAAACTTTGTCTTTCTGTTATTTCTCCCAAGCCCTGTTCCGCCATCCATTTACTCAAGTTCACTAAGTAAGTGATGCAGTGTTTTTCTCTATCCCTCTTGCCTTCAATCTGTCCCGTCAGTCTCAGATTTTCCAAGCCTTCTTTCCTCATTATGTGCCCCAGAAAACTCAACTGTCTTTTTACCGATGTTAAGTATAAGTTTCATTTTTGTTTACGTTTTCTCTAAGACTTCGTCGTTGCTCACATGCTCAGTCCATGGTATTCTCAGCATCCTTCTGTAGAACCACATTTCTGTTGCTTCAAACCTCAACCTTCGTCTTTGAGAAGATTGTCCAGCACGCACTGTCATACAGAAGGATAGATGTTACATAGCAATTTAGTACTCTTTTCCTTGTTTCTAGCCAAGTTTCTCTATTTCTTAGTATTCTGCTTAGCTTTTGAAATGCTTCGTTGGCTATCCTCAATACGCCTTTGGCTTTCAGTCTCACACTTTCCGTCTTCTGTTAAAAACTTCCCAGATATGAAACGCTATGGTGGTTTTGGAAATAGTGGAATACACCGAAAAAATCGGTAAGCCTAGTTGGAGATGGTAGTTAGAGCAAACTCAAAAAGACTCCGGTCATTAAAACTGAGAGGAAACTCTCACAGTTCCTAAATAAGAACAAGGACTACTTTGCAGTGAACAAGTAAAGAAAGCTGACTCAACGTTAGACCAAGCTATATATATGGCTTCCCCAAGATTCACACAGTAGGTATTCCATTGAGACCTATGGTTAGCTGCAGGAGCTCGGCATGTCACTCGCTGGGCTGATTTCTAGTGGTTATAGTCAACCTATGTGGAATTGATCTGAAAGCGTCCTATAGATAGCAAGCGGAGGATAAGCTTGGATGTGGTCTACCTGTTCACCATAGTTCCTACAGATGAGACCCTGACAGTGGTTCGAAACTGATTGGAATCAGATCCCTACCTGGGAGAACGTACTACCATTCCAATATATAATCTGATGGAAATGTTCCAACTAGAGTCTGCCATTTGCCAACAGGAGGAAGGTTTGGCTATGGGTTCACCGTTGTGACCAGTGATTCTGAACATATGCATGAGATACATAGATGATACCTTCATAGTCCGGTCTACAAGTATTGTTAGACCATTTAAATGCAATAAGACCTTCGATCAAGTTCACAATGGAAGAAGAAAGTAATAATCATCTAACATTCCATGATGAAACCCCGTATTTTCCGGCTTACAAGACGCACTTTTTTCCTAAAAAATACCCTGAAATATACGTGTGCGTCTTCTAAGACGAATGTAAGGCAACACCCAGACTCAAGTAAGCTTGAATGGTCACCTAATTGGCTTCACCGATAGGGACGTGGATTTGTATGTTGAATCATTACACTATAATGTTAGCTATCTAATTCAGCCTTTTTGGATGATGTAACCTCAGTACTTAGGCGTTACAAATATTTTCAAGACTATAATCCTTCCTGGAGCCGAGCCACAAGCTTTAACATGCTCTGTTTACTAGCAGCGGCGGGAGCCTTCCTGCTCTTGTCTAGTAAGTCATTGCCATACAGACACAATTGGACGAGTGATTTATGGAAACAATACCTGGCAACAGTATGTAATGAACGCATAATGAATGTGTTGTTGTATGAGAATAACTTTTCTTTTTCTTAGAAATTTCTTTCCAATATTAGGCAGCGTCTTATAAACTGGAAAATACGTTAATAACTCACACAGAGAACCCTTTCAAGACATCCGTATATAACAAGTCAACTTCAACGAACAAAATCTCAATTTCTATTCCCACCATAGATAAGGGCCTTATCTGGATATTTTTCATGGAAATATCGACAGTGTAGCAATACTCTTTCGGCATTGTGGGGAAAAGCCTGCATAGTGGAAAATAACGCATCGTACACAGGACAACGTTTTTCAATTCACTCAAGGCTTTAAAGTAGGGACTGATCAGCTTCAGCTCAGATATGACAGCAATACTTCATTTTTTCGGTCTAATCTGCCCACTTATAAACATAATGAATGGTAGTCAGATACTTCGTGGCAAATGTTCAGACGTACGCAATTCTTTAATACCTCCAGCCCTTTTACAGCCAACACCCAACCAGGATTGAATTAGACAAGATTAAATTATCCGTATTTCCTACGTATCCCTTTAGTAAGAAAAGCGTTTCGTTCCGAAGGACCCTTCCTAAGAACCGCTACATTTTCTAACAGTTTCTCGATTGGATCCTTTCCAGGAAACTTAACCTTTTCAAGTCTAGGATCAATATTCATCCACCATATCCTTGAAATCTTTACTTTCGACCAATTCCTC